TAGCTGAAGCTAAATATAAATTAGATTTTGCAGAATTTTTATTAATAAAAGTAGGAATATGAAATTTTCTACGGATACTATAGAAAATAAAAAAAATGAAAATATAGAAAATGAAGAAAATGAGGAAAATGAAGAATTTCAAGAAGATTTTAACAATATTAAATTTCCTCCCGAGTTAGAGGCTTCAATTTCTCAAATACTTCAAACTAATGATCCATTAGATAGTAATGATTTTAATCCAATAGAATATCTTAATCAAATGCTTCCAAATGGTAAGTTGCATTCTTGGGTTTACATTTAAAGATGAAAAAAAAGGAATTAAATGCTATGTTTGCATTTAATGTGAAAAGAACAAGCATTAGCGACTGTCGATGTGACTGCCAAAAAGCTTCAAGCCAAAATGCGACAATTGAGTGAGGATATCAAGGAACTTTCTAGGTTGCAAACTGATGGTGGACAACGAGGACCAGAAGAAGTCGCAGAGGCTAAGAGAGCGATAGAGGTTCGTTCTATTTTTTAAATTAATGAAAATAAGTTAAACCAAACTCATTCGTTCTCGATATTTTGTTATTTCTTATTAGGAGCTTTTTGATAGAATAAGAAAAATCAAAGAGAAAGCATCACAATCAGAAACCATGGTGCAAGAAATAACCAAAGATATTAAATCATTAGATTATGCTAAGAAACATTTGACAGTTTCGATTACTGCTTTGAAAAGATTGCAAATGCTTGGTGAATAAAATTTTTTTGTTAATGACTTTACTGTTACTTCATTTTTCAGTTAATTTATTTTCTGTGAGATTATCTTTTAAAAAAGTAAGTTCATTATTAACCCTGTACTATTTAAAGTTACTGCCGTAGATCAATTGAAAGTAATGGCACAGATGAAACAATATAAAGAAACATCACAACTTTTACAAGTAATGTATATATATACTTCTACCTTTTTTTTTAAAAAAAAATGTTAATTAAACAATGTTATCTAATGTACACATTGTTATATATTTTCCAACTAATAGGCTGTTCTACAACTTAGTTCATATTTTAAAAGTTATAAAAGCATTAAACGAATAGCGGAATTATCATCTTCGGTGAATACATTCCAGAATGATCTAAGGAAGCAGATTTTTGAAGATTTTGAGTCTAGGTATAAGAAATACGAGATAATTTTCAAACAATTTTTTTTCTTTAAAATGATTTTTTCTGATATCTGGAGTTTCTATTTAGTTTTGCTATTGATGGAGGTTTCAGTAGTCAGACGACACTTTTGGCCAACGCATGTTTAGTAATTGATATAATGGGTTTAGATGTCAGGTAGCCAAATATTAAATTATTAGTGGTGCTAGAATAATCATTATTCAAATTATAAACGGATTAATTGTTATAACCAATTAGATCACAACTAATGAAATGGTATTGTGAGAAGCAACTAAATGATTACAAGAAAATATTTCGAGGAAGCGATGAGGTGTTAAAAATATAGTATAAGGCTATTTTTTTGGAATATATAAACTCGTAATTGAATATTTTATATGTAATAGATTGCATCTTTGGAAAATACATCTAGAAGATATTCGTGGCTAAAGAGAGTCCTTAAAAATTATGATGAAAAACATGCAGCAATATTTCCTGTTAATTGGCGATTGAGCGAATTCCTCAGTATTCAATTTTGTGAAATCGTTAGGTATTGATACTTATCTTTAGCTATATATATACATATAATATTTATTTAATATTTATTTAATTTTGAATGTCCTTTATTAGGGAGGATTTAGTAAAAATACTTGTAAAGACTAACGAGTTGGATGTAAAGACCTTACTCAAAAACTTACAACTGACAATTGAGTTTGAAAATCAACTGACAAACCGTTTTTCTAACATGGTACAAGCATTAATATTTTGTGATATACTAGTTGCAGCTAAGAACGTAACTTATAAGATAAATAAATAAATTTTAGGATAAATATCGAACATCTAGTAC